ACCCATGCGGCAAGAGGCTTGGTCCTGGCTGGGATGGGAAGCCCCGTTCTTGGCAGAGCGGCAGGGGACTGTGTGGCAAACCCTCAATTATCTCAGCACACATCTGTGGAACCCGCTTGACTGGAACGAGCTTCGCTATTTCTAACTCCGTATGCAGCCCCCTTTCTGCCTGAAGAATCATTTGGGGGAAAATCAGATAAAATGAATGGAGTGGCCAGGAGGCTGGGGTTTGGCAAGATCTTTCAGGAGCACAGGAACCATGTGTGCCAGTACCCAGGTGGGATGGGGCAGGGAACCTGTGTCCCTGCTCTCCCTGCCCTCCTACAATAGCCTCTGCCTTTCATGGCCCTTCCTCAGCATGGCAGATCCTTCCGGAAGCACCCACTGATGCTCAGCTCCCTGGGGATGCCCTTCTGAAGCCTGGAGGCCAGGGTCAGGGCCCCCAGGGAATACCCAGACCACGTTCCTCATGAGAGATGGGGAAACTGAGTCTCACAGGAGCACAGTGGCCTGGTCAAGGGTACACACCAGGGTCAGGAGCTACCAGGGACAAGGTGACTCCAGAGTGCCTCTTACCTCCCCTCTGGACAATGGAGGCCAGGGCCACTACCACCTGGCCCTGAGGAATCAGTAACCGTCTGCACGCAGAGGTGCTAACATGAGCCCTCGCCCTACTGGTCAGCCTGCTGTCTGTTTGTTCACTGTCTATCTCTTCCTTTTTGCTCCCCCGAAATCTGTCTTTCTGTTTGTCTGGCAAAGGTCTGGAGCTCCCTCTCCATAAGCCAGGCCCTGAGCTGGGGTGTGGGGTGGCCATGAACAGCACTAATGCTTCCCCTGTCACCAAGCTTGGTGTTCCGGGTACAAAGGAGACAGGAATGATGGATGGGGCAGGACGGATGCTGGTCTCCTGGTCAGAGCTCCTGCCAGAAAACTTGGCAGCTCCAGGACTGTCCTCTTGGCACCCAAGGAGGATTTCTCAGGAGGCTGATAGCCTCACCCAGTGAAGGGTAGCTCAGAAGAGGACTTGGGAAGAGTCAGCTCACTGGGAGCCACTGAAAGCTGGAATACTGCAGGCCATCCAGAAGGTCTGCAGGGACCAGGACACTGAAGGCCACTTCCAGAGGCCCTGTGCTTTCTGCCCACTTGAGGCACAGCAAAGAAGAGCTACAGGCAGAGAAGGCCAGGAGGCCGAAGCGTGCAGACCCTGCCTCCTGCTCCCTCACACACCTGCATGGGCCCCACGAGGAGCCCAGCCCAGCCTAGCTGGCTCCCTGGCAGCCAAGCCCCTGCAGGAGAGGTTCAGGCAGCTGCAGGGAAGAACATTCAGAGGGCATGAGAGCGCAGTCGAGACTGGCAGGGCTATCCTATGGCTCTGGGGGGTGGCAGGCAGGGCTGCAGGATCAAGCTCTGGGAGAAGCATGAGTGCCCCGTGGGCTGGAGCTGAACCAGCCAACAGGGATCCCAGCGTGACGTGAACCCTCCCCAGCTCCACAGGCAGCCAGGGCTGGCTGTTAGCACTGATCAGACTCAACTCCTGCAGCCTCTGAGGTGAGCTGCAGTCATCTCCACTCAATAGGTGAGGAGACCAAGACCCAGCGTCGGCCCTCACAAAAATGCTCTCAAGGCCCAGATCCTTCCGACAGGAGATCCCACCACGTCAACCGGATGGGGCATGGGAAGGTTGGTGAGGCCCCAGCCCTCCAAAAAGGGAGGACACATGTGGGGTGTTGCGTGCAGCTAGCAGCAGGGCATGCCGGCTGGGCAGGACAGAGTCTGGCAGGAGTAGGAGGAGTGGGAGTAGGAAGAGGAGGAGGAGAGGGTGGGGGTTGGGTGAGGCCGGAGGAAAGAGGCTATGAAAGGAAGCCAGGGAGAGAAATGGAACAAGAAGCATCTTTAAGAACAAGGAGCCCATTAGTGGGGAGGGGCACGGGGGAGGGGAACGCTTAGGCTCCCTGGCAACCCTCAAGGGACAATTAGCCCAATGGAATAAAACCTCTGGCAGAGTCCCCTGTCAGGCAAAACACAAGGTGGCAGGTGTCCTAGGAGGGGAGTCAGCTGAAGAAAGGGTCCCACGCCTGGGGAATCCAGGAGGGCTTCCTGGAGAAGGTGTCTATGAGCAAGCTGGGCCCAGGTGAAGAGGACAGAGCAGGTGGGCCTTGGTGCTGAGGCCCCGTGGACAAATGCAGGCACAAGTTGGCAGCATCTGCCTGAGGGGCTTCACTGCTCAGAAATGAAGCTGATGGACCAAGCTGGGGTCTCAGCAACCACGATGGGTGTGCTGGGAGCATGACCCCACTTATTCCTGTGGGTCGGACATTACTGTGCCTACTTTACAGATGAGGCAGAGGCCCAGCCGGCACTCCGCTGGCAATGGCTGCACTTGGGCACCAGCCCACATGTTCACCTGGAGTCAGCCTCCTGTCTTGGTTGCCCAGAGCGCCCCTTGTCGGGTCTGCCAGGGAGCTCTCAGCCCTGCCTCCAAACATCAACTTGTAAAGCCCTTCCATCTTTAATCTCCCTGATCCTGTGAGCTTCAAGCATGAAAACACAGCACATGTTACACAGTGGGAAAGCAGCTGAGCTAAAAGAAAACTTGTTCCCTGATACCATCCACTTGAGTCCCTGGAATGCAGCCAGAGCAGGTGTGGTGGGCGGCTGGGAGGGTAGGGAGTTGGGCTGCTGTGGGCACCAGGCCTTGCTGGTGGAGCGCTGGGCCGCTGGCCCAGCCGTCCTTCCAGAGGCAGCTGCCTCAGCTCCGTGGCTTCTGACCCAGCACACCCATCCCTCAGGGCCTGCAAAGACACATTCACACAGGCCTTGGGCCAGGACAGGCCATGGTCTGGAGAGTCAGGTTAGGTCAGGCCAGGCCAGGCCTGCCATTAGAAAGAAGGGACAGCAAGGGCTGGAGGATGGGCAGTGAGGGGGCAGCCTGGGGAGTACACCAAGGCTCCAGATCACAAGAGTCTAGGAAGGCAGGTGGGATGCCCAGCAGGAGCTGCGGTGCCCAGGCCAGATCCCTGCAGGAACCTCAGCCCCTCAGGGTGAGCCAGGCCTCCTGTACACTGTGAGCTGGCCAGCTCCTGGGCTCTCTACCCACCTGCCTCCTCCTCCTGGGGCCCCCTCCCTGCCTCTCCCTGACCTCAGGAGTCTGGGGGCTGAGAGGATGCCAAGGTGGGGAGGAGAGCTGAAGTTCTAGGGGAGCTAAGATGCTGGCTTGAGCAGGGAGAGTGGCAGGGCTCACACTTGAGGGCATGACGGGGAGGGACCTAGTGTCCAGGAAACCTGAGGACACCAGGCAGGGGTTCCAGAAGCCCACGAGGGGCTATGAGAGTGGTCAAGAAACTACTTGCTGATGGTGTTTTTAAAAAGTAACACAGGAGCACACGCAATGGAATCCCAGGATTCCGAGTTACCAGATACAATGAAGACGTCTATGCATGTGCCTATATATAAAACACCGAAAGGAAATGCAGTAAAGCACGACTGCGGCTGCCTCACGCAGGTAGGTGACTTGCTTCGCTCTTTTGGATTTCTGACAATCTAAATACAAAACCCTGTGGAAGATGCCCCAAGGCTCCACTGGAGTTAGTCTTCGTAAGACCATTGCTTCAACTACAGCACATGTAAGGATCTGGTGAAAACGCCATCTCTTAATTTGTAAATGTTGATGTAACGAGTGATGTGTTAAGTGGTGACTGTTCGTGATACACCTTTATTAATACCTAATCATCTTCAAAACCCATGGAATTTCTATAATGTATTAAACACCTCTCTGTGAATTATTCAAAGTTTACAGAATTATGCAAAAGTGAAGAAATACATTTCTGATAGCTTAAAGACTTTGTGTGTTTGTATTATTCAAAGGTTTGAGAGTTTCAAGAGTGTAGACGTGGATGAACACGATCTGAGGAGCAGGAAATCCACAAGGAACGCAGAGGAGCCAGCACTGCACCCCATGCAGCACTGGCTAGGGAGACAGGTGAGTTTGCAGGAGGAGGAAGAACCGGGCTAAGGCTGACTCCGATGGGCAGTGGCTCGCTGCTGTGAGAGGCTGATGGACACACGTAGGCCGCACTGGGTACAGCTTTTATACAAATCAAAAGAAACAGTCGGGTCTGTTTTTAGAAAGACACGCAGAGGCTGCAGACTGCAGGCGGGTTAGATGCCCATTCCAGACAAACTGCAGCAGTCTTAGGTAGGGCTGGTCTCTGCCTGTCCCCATATCCGACAGCCACCGCCCACTCCAGCCTTCCTGAAGCAGCCTCGAGGCCATGCTAAGGCCAAGATGCCATACCAGGCCAATGGCACAATCTTCACAAACGGGATGTTAGCTCACTGGGGTGGTGATAACAAGCCTTTGTCGCCCTGGATTTCCTGATGCTTAAGGTCCATATGGGGCCACCTCCACCCTGATGGTCAACACGGAACACCCCAATTCCTGCTACTGGACCCTGCTCACCCGAGACTCTCCATGCCCACAACCATGGACCTAGCCCAGCTTCACCAGCAAACCAGAAGAGCACCCGCTGGCTTGCAGGATGCGAGTGTGGAGACGCGGCTGGCTCTCCCTTCCTCTTCTAGTCTGTCTACCTCACCTTGCACTGGTCTCTGGCCTGGCGGCTTGAAAGGTGCCCCTGGCTGGCCCCACATAGATTTCAGTCCTCCCCAGGCGCTGCTGCCTCTGGACATACCGACACACGCCTGGAGCCCCAACCCTCACGGAATGATGCCCAAGTCAGGACAGACGGAGGCCAAGAAAGTCAGGGGAGTGGCTCAGGGCCTTACTCGTCCAGGGGTTCCAAGGCTGCAAAGCCACATGGGGTTAGTCCAAGGCTGAGAAGCCTCAGGGGTGAAGAGGACAGGCCAACGCATCTCCCTTCCACCCGGCCCACCACACCATTGCCTTCAGACACGAGGCTGCTCCTTTGCCAAGGGCTACAATCAGATATCCCCGTCAGAGGAGACAGGAGAGCCAGAGAGCCAGCGCACGCGGGACCCACCTTGAAGATGAGGCAGTCACCCTGGTGCTCGGCATACAGCGAGGTCAGCCGGTACTGGTTCTCTGTGGTGATGTCGATCTGGTAGCCAGTGAGCGTGTAGCAGGCCTTGCGAAACTCCTGGATCTTGGTCTGAAAAACCTCCTTGAGCCGCTGGTTCTTCAGCTCGGCGCTCTCCACCTGCTTCCTCAGCTCTGTGGGAGGGAGGAAAGGAGATGGTGAGTGTGTCACCAGGCCAGAGGGGCGGGGACCCAGGAGAAGGCCGAGTGGGGGCAGGAGTGGAGGCTGCCCAGGGACGCAGGTGGCCCATGTGTCGCACTGGCCAGCCTCCATCTGCACGCATGAGGAAACCAGAGTGAGAGGTGAGCTGACACAGACTGACGCTCTTAATGAAGTTACCGCATTAAGAACGGTAACTGAGGGCTGGACTCCAGAAGCAGCCCGGGCCCTTCCACAGGGACCAGCCCTTGGCCGGCATGACAATGCCTGGATCCACCCTAGTCACTGCCAGGAAGCCACAGGATCAGGCATGCCTCGGGGGCACCCCTGCCCCAATGCTTCAGCGATTTAGGCAAGAACCCTGAGAGGAGGTGGCGCTGAGGACATGGGTCCCGAAGTGAAGGCCTGGGCCACCAAGCTGACCAGTGAGCCTGACCATCCATTCCCAGGCTGCGGTCTGGGTCCTTTCTAGGGTCGGAGGCCTGCCCTGCAGAGCCAGCACTCAGAAACAGGGGGGCAGGTGGGAAGCCACCTGGACGTTCTGGATCCTATTGCCCCAGGGCTTTGACCTGCCAGCCACCTCTGAGGCCAGACCACTTGTGAGATGACAGCTGGCCCTGCCCAGGCCCACTACCCCCCACGCAGCTTTAAGTGACCATTCAGGGCACAACCCTGCACCCCGCCCGCCAGGATTTACAGCTGCTTGGAGAGGAAATGCTGTGCAGAGCCATCAGGAGGATAACAGCAATGATCATGAATCTCTCACCCGAGAGGCCTTCCAAGTAATTAAGCCTTGATTTATCCCCCCGTTAATTATCAGGACTGGCTCCACTTAGAGGCACACAGAGCTGTCCCCTAGGCCGGGTACTTCCTAGCAGTGCTGTCTGGAGCTGGCGATGGGGAGCCCTGCAGGGGCCTGGGACTGCTCCAGGTGGGGACAGTAGACACTGGATCCTATCCTGCAGGCCAGGGGAGCTGGGCCAGCTGCCAGCCTCCCTCCACTAGGACAAGGGACCAAATCACAGAACTGATGCAAGCACCCACATCCAGGCACGGGACGGTCAGCTCCCTGGCTGGGCAGAGAAAGGGGATGTTCAAGTCAACCATGGCCACATGGCTGGGGAGAAACCAAGGGTTCCAAGCCATGCAGTGCTCGGGGGAATGCTGGTCCTGAGTTAGAGATGAGTCTGAAGGCCCCAGGATGGGTGTGGGGTCTCCCAGAGGAGGGTGAGGGAAGATGCAAGTGTGAATGCCTGCTGGCCAGGTCACAGCGAGTGAGAGAGGGGCTGCCTGGGAGTTCGTGCACAGTGGTCCAAAGAGACGCTTACAGGCCGGTTTAAGGCAGATGGATGCAGTCAGTGTTGCTTCCTGGAGGAGGTAAGCAGGAACAGGAACCAAGTGCAAACAAAAAGCCCTCAAACCTGCAGAGGAAGACGGAGAACGTGGGAAAGGCCATGGTTCCAGCTTGGCTCAGCCTCCCCGACCTGTAACCCCAAACCTATCCCTTCACCCCATCTCCCAGGACCTCTGTCTACCACACAGATATCAAAGGCATTGGCCAGATCGTGTGCCAGAGGCCACCACTGAGAGCTCAGAGCTGCTGGGCACCCCTAAAGACATGAGCTCAGTCAAGCAGCATGTTCCATGTGCAAGCTCACTCACTGTCTGGCTGTGACAGCTACGAACACAATCCGATCCCCAGTCCACACATAAGGACACTGAGGCTCACAGAGATTCACTGCTGGGCTGCAAGAGAAAGGGTGCTGCCTGCCATGGGTTCTGGAAGGAGCAGCAGTGCAGGGCTCATGTTCATGGCATTGGGATGTAAGAGGTTGGGAGGAGACAGGGTCTGTACCACTGTGGGTCTGTCCGCAGGGGGGCCCTGGCACTGGTCTAACTGTAGGACTGCAGCATCTGCACTGGGTTCGGCTCTTGCCTCAACCTGACCTCCTCCCTCCGCTGCCGGCAAAGGCAGCCCTGTGGGACATTGTTATTCCACAGCTGAGCTCCTCCAGCAGGACAAGGCCAAAGGCCTAGGGCCCAGGGCCCGGGGTCCTTGATGAACCGAGCAATCAGGCAATGAAATCTGAAGGTTAATTGGCAGCAATGACCCCAATATTCTTCCCTGCATCCCTGGGCTGATCCTCTGGAAGACAGGGCCATCGGTAGCAGGAATCCCACATGCAGAAGGAATAATGCAGAGACCATACTTCAGAGGCCATAGTTTATCCCTAACAGGGCCTGTGCTGCCTTCAATACATCTCAGATGTCCAAAGGGGAAGAATTAGATTTTGGTAATAAATGCAGCCTGACTTTGGAGGAGGAAACAGCCTTGTTTTCCCATAGACCTCAAAGCTGCCTCTGTGCTGCTCACAGACCATAGGAGGCAGTCGGGGCTCCAGGCTGCATGGCCCATCCATGGTGGGTTGGCGTGAGGTCCCAGGGTGAGGAAGGTGTTGTGTGGGGCCCTCTCTCAGGGGCAAAACCACCACCCACGCAGCTGGGAGCAGCGGGGCCGCTGCTCTCTCCCATAGGGGCCACTCCCGCCGGTTGACATCTGAAACCCAGGGCCCTGGAAGGGAAGTGACCACCTCCATGCCACACAGGCCCTTGGAGGGGAAGGGGCTCTGACCCTGGTCTCCTGTCCAGGTAGGGAAGGGCCCATCATCTAGGCAAGGCTGCCTCAATGGTCGATTCAGCTTGGGGCAGATCAAGCCAGAGTTCTGACTCCCCTTTATCCCTGTAGTTCAGTCGCTTACATAAAGGTGAATGAATAATTCACACAATGGTTTGGATTAAATAAATAAAAGATGGGTTTTCCGCCTTGGAGATGTCATCACTATCTTGTCGGTTGCTCTCACGTGGCCTCCTCTCAAGTGAGCCAGGAGCCCGGGCTTCCTCTGGGCTGGGTTCCGTGGGCCTGGACGCTGGACAGGCTCCTCTCAGAGACCCTAGAAGCCAGTGGCAGAGACCCCCAGGGTGAGAGGCAACAGCCCTGTGCCTGACCTAGGCCCTGGGACCACAAAGGCAGTGCCCAGGCTGTTCTCACACCTGACCTGCGATGGCAGTATGTGGGCTGAGGCGAAGGCAGCAGTGGGGCAGCACTCCAGGCCCCGGTGCCCCACCCAGCCCGGCCTGCTGTGTGCTCAAGGCCTGCTGAGCTGGGGTGCTCAGGGACGGAGCCCAGCTCTGCAGCCCTGCTCTCTGGGGCAGCCCCACCAAGGCTCTCAGGCCCTCCTCTCTGGCCTCCAGGGCCACCCCAGGCTTAAAAGCAAACCGTAAAGAGGCCCTGAGCCCCTCAGAGCCCTGGCCCAGCCCACCCACAGCCCTGGCTCCCACCTTTCCTGCCTGGGGATGTTGAACTCTGGCCACACTGACCAGGAGCAACTGCCTAGGAAGCAGCCACTTCCCTCTGCCTGGATGCCTGCCCTCCTTGGGCCCCTTTTCCACACCCCTGGAACCCCTACTCTGGGCAGAGCCAGCCCTCTTGGAGGCTCCTGCTACCACCTTGCAGGGATGCAGGGGCACAGTCCTGGTGCCAATGGGCACTCAGGTCCTCGGTGAGGGGCAGGAGAGGAAGGAAAACAGCAGGTGTTCAAATGGGAGTCAGAGAGGATGCGCAGCAGCCACCCAGGGCCCGGATCCTGGGGTGTTCCAGGGGAACGAGGGCATCCACAATGCGGGTGCCTAAACAGCTACCCCCTCACTACCTTAGCCTCACACCTGCCTCCTCCTGGGATGACAGGAGGCAGCTGTGAAAAGGACAGAATAAAAATAAATTGCGCTACATTACGTAAAGGCCAGCTAGCAGGGAAGAGAGGCTTCATAGCCTGAGAGCCTGGATGTCAGGATAAAGGAGCATTTACGGCACTTATCTCAAGAGGCCAAGTTCACAGCCTGAAATGTGGAGAACGGTTCTACCTTGGCAGGACAGAAAGAGCCAACACACAGATACGGCCCACGGGGACGGGGACAGAAATGCTGAGGTCCAGGACTTTCAGAAACAGGGAAAAGGTACCAGTACTTTTCTCTACATCGTCTTTACTCCATGGGGTGTTACGGGGCATATGCAGACGAGAGCAAGCAGAGATCCTTTGAAAGGTACCAACGAATCTTAGGAGCATGGCCCCAGGGCACTGCCTGTCCACTTCTATCCTTCCCCAGGGGCCTGAGCTATACCCAGGCTGAACCAGGCCTGCAGGCTACATGAGCCTCAGGGCCCAGGGAACCCTCAGGGTGCAGGGGCTCTGGCCTTGCTATTCGTCCTGCAGTGGGAAGAGGCCGCGGCACTACCCCAACTCTGTGGGCCTGGACTCTGTGACCTTCCTCTGGGATCTGTCCCATGAGTGGGGCTGGCCTAACCCCTATCTGTGTCCTGAGACCAGCCTGGCCAACATAGAGAAACCCCGTCTCTACTGAAAACACACAAAAAATTAGCCAGGTATGGTGGTGGGTACCTGTAATCCCAGCTAGTCAAGAGGCTGAGGCAGGAGAATTGCTTGAGGCCGGGAGGCAGAGTCCACAGTGAGCTGAGATTGCCCCACTGCCCTCCAGCCTGGACGACAAGAGTGTAACTAACTCAGTCTCACCCAAAAAAAAAAAAAAAAAAAAAAAAAAAAAAAAAGCCTGGGCCTCTCTGTTTACCAAGCACCTGCAGGCACCCGCAGGCACTGGGCAGCTCTGCCCTGAGGAGGCCAGCCCTGCACAGCTGAGGCAGCTGGCCCACATGGGAAGACCCCCCATGGGGAGGAGATGCCAACCCTGCTCCTTCCATAAGTCCCTGAGCAGCCTCTTCTCAGGCTGGCCTCGGTTCTCTGGGCCACACTGCTCCTGCCACCCTGTCCAGTCCCTGTCCTGGATGGGAAACCCGGCCATGTAGACAGAGCTCCATGCTCCCGCAGCAAGACACGGGCGGAGGCAGGGCTCTATCCTGGGGCATTCACACTCTGCTGGGTGCCCTGGCTTAGCCATCAAT